CTGAGCTTCCTTATTTGTAAATAGCGACGATAAGTTGATTCAAACATGAATTCCGGGCGGGGTGGTGGTTGGTCAGACAGGAACAATAGCTACCATTTCGATGTCAAGTACAGTCTTAAGCCCTTGACGTGTTAGGGGCCATGGGGCCCAGGTGACAAAGCAATACTGCCTCCTTTCTAGTCAGTCTCTAGATCTTTCTCCCAAGGCACTGCGGAGGATTAGAACTGCCCTCCGTTTGCAGCCAAGCTCTATTGTGTTCCCGATTTGAGGTAAATGTAACAGTATACTCCCACTTTGCAGAAAACGGCACTGGGGCGATATACCGTTTTCAAGATTAACGCTAGTCTATACTTCTGGGGTTCTCATAGCAAACATTCCTAATATCACTTGAATAGAAGGTTCTGTGTTGCCAACCTGAGCATTCCTAACATTCTTTGACTTCTAAGATTGGAACAAAGCCAAACGTTCCAAGATTGGAAGGGGTCTTGTGCTTCATCTGCCACCGGGGCTTCTGATTTTCCTCCGCGCCACCAGGGTTGCTTTTTAACGATATAGATTCACTGCCAGCCAGTTGATTCTGGCTGGCAGCAACCCTACAGGAAAGGGTAGAACTACCCGCGTGGGGGTCCAGGACTATAACTCTTTATGGGACTGGAAAGCCTCATTTTTCTCCCAAGGAGGGCTGATGGTTTCGAACCGCTAGTCTTTCAGTTAGCAGTCCAGCATGCAACCACTAACCCACTTAGGGCTCCTTTGATTCTGATTTTTCTAAAACAAAGAAAATTGTAGAGTGTAAAGCAGAACTGAAGAACAGGGAGGAAGACAGACATAACTGACAGGACAAGGGAGAGCAGAAATAGAAATACAGTAGCTTTATTAGGTGGGGAGAGCTCCCTGAAGAGGCCAACAGGTCAGGGAAGTCGTGCTCAGCAGCTGGGGGGGCGAGGGTTTTTAAAGGGGTGGTGAGGAATGTATGGCAATTAGCATATGGGGTCTGGAAACTCTGATAATTGTTTGTGCGGCTTTCTTTGAACCCAGAACATCTAGTTTCACTGGTTATCTTCTCTGGCGCCATCTGCTGCGGACCTTTGGGATGTGCAGGGAAGCACGTGCAGGGCCCGGACCTGCTTCAGCTTAGCCCAAACCGGGGCTGCCTAGTTCAGACCCGGCCCAAACATAGAGTAAAAAAAAAATCGTTTTAAAAGCCTTTTATTGTGATTGGGGTAAAAGTTTACCGAACAAATTGCCCTCCCATTCAACAGTTCATCCACATTTTTTGTTTCATGACATGGCTTGGGGTTCCCAGTATGTACGGGCACTCTTTCCACTTCCTCCCTGCTAGCCATTTCCATTTTTTAATAACAGTTGTCACTTCATGCACATGTCACACAATCCAATCATAGCAGTAAACGTTGTACATCCTTCGTTTCGATCCCTTTCCGCCTTCTGAGCTTTATCCCTGGGCACATGCTGCCCTTTCGATGTCATTGGTTAATTTATCTATGGAGTGCGGATCTCCCTAGCAGCAAGCCCACGTTAGTGTTCATCTTGTATTTAAAAAGCAACCCAGTCGCCGCGGCGTGGATCCCAAAGCGCAGAGAAGAATTGCTTCCCCAGGGCTTCCAAGGCTGGCCTCTACGGAAGCCGACCGACACATCTTTGTCCGGAAGAGGGCGGATCCGCACCACCAACCTCGATGTTTGGAGAACTTAACCATCGCGCCACCCAGCCTCCTTTGTTCACCTATCTGTTATCCTCACAGCCTAGGAGGATATCCTCACAGCGACTCTTGTTCGTCTGAAACTTGAGCGCAGAAGCGATTCAGTTCCAGACCTGAAGAGTGAAAATATATAGTGATCATAAAAAGGAATAAAGTCAACATTCTAAGAGCGAAGACAAAAGGCCGCCAGGAAAGGTGTTTTGCGGAGAGCGAGAGCGGAGACCTCCAACCTGGGGCTGCCAAGAATCTGCAGATCCCGTGGGACAAACAGGAGGGCGGGGTCATTCATCCGTCACCAAGAAGACCGCCCTCCCGCTCCCACGCTGCCTACGTCACTACCAACATGGCGCCCTCCGGAAGTGCGTCACGGAAGTGGGCGGGAGAGCTGCGCGCGCACCTCCCAAACCGGATGTCGGGGCGCCCGCGGCTGGGCTCGGCCTTTGCCAAGATGGCCGCGGGAAGTGGTGCTGCTGGTAGGCGCGCGCGCTCCAAGAGCGCGGCCGATTCCGGCTTCTTGGGGCTCAGGCCCACCTCGGTGGACCCGGGTCTGAGGCGGCGGCGACGAGGCCCGCGAAATAGGAAGCGGGGCTGGCGGCGGCTGGCGCAGGAGCCGCTGGGGCTGGAGGTGGATCAGTTCCTGGAGGACGTGCGGCTGCAGGAGCGCACCACCGGGTAGGTAGGGCGGGACTTCCTGGACCCCGGCCGCGGGCTTCGGGGCTTTTTATTTGGGGGGGGGGCGACACTAAAAGCCGGAACGCTAGTGGCACGGTTAGGCGTTGAGCTCCTAGCTACTGGGTTAGCGGTTCGAGACGGCTAGCTGCTCCACAGGAGGAAGAAGACGCTCCCAGTCCTGTGAAGGCTTGCAGTCCCGGAAACCACCCCCGCCCCGGGGGGGCAGTTCTACCTGCAGGGTCCCCCGACGGGGGCTGTGACTCGGCAGGACTCTGCTGGAGAGTCATTTGGGCGGCTCAGGGCCAGCAGCTGCTCAGCGGGCGAAAGAGGAGACTCCCACCCCCGGGCTGAATGAAGAGTCTCGGAAACGCGCAGGGCTCGTTACCGGCCGCCCTGTGGGTCTCCGTGGGTCAGAATCGACCCGGTGGCCGTGCGTTCGGTGGTTCAACCCACCCACCCGCCGCTCGAGAGGCAGAGGAGGGGGCTAAGGGTGCGGGTTCGCGGAACCCTGCACGGGCTCGGGGTGAGGGAGAAGGACTGGTTGGGCGGCAGTGGGCCTGGGGCGGGGGTCGCCCCTGAGGGGGGGGGCAGTAGGCTCGCGCTGCGGAGGCCTGGGGGCTCGGGGTGAAGTGGGGGCACTTCTGCCCGGTTTGGAAGGGTTGCCAGATGGAGCGAATAGAGGTACCACGTGCCCGGTGAGATCGGAGTTGCCCGTAAACGAGAGATACTTTTGGAAACAAGTAGCGCCTGACGTGTTTCTTGCCCATTTCCCTGTGTGGGTGAAGCATGTTCCCAACGGAAGCGAGTGAATGTTGTCTTAGGACGCAGTGCCTGCCCCCCCCCCCCCCACGTGACAGTAGAAGAGCCCCACCGGGCTTTCTAGAAAGAGACCCTGGTGGCACAGCAGGTCAAGCGCCGCGCTGCTCACCCCACAGTGGTTGGTTCAAACCCACCTGTGGCTCTGAGGGGGTGGGGTGGGGAAGAGGTCAGTGAACTCCCAGAAAGTCGCAGGGTCTCAGAGACCCTCAGGAGCCGATCTACGAATCAGAATTCACTTAGTGGCCGCGGGGGTGTAGGTCAGCAGTGAGACCCACCGGGTGGCGTCCAGCAAAGGTGACCGTACGACTGTAATATATACTGCTTATATATAATTACTGTAATGTAATCCCAGCAGTAAAAAACACGCCACGGAATGTAAAAATATGCTACGTTCATTATAGCTGGCTTGTCACCCTGAACACAGAAATCACGGGGTTTTTATCGTTCAGAGTAGAGGGCTGGCTGAAGGGGAGGAGGGATTTTCAAGGGGTTGCATCCTTCTCAGGCTGGCTGGGTATTGGGGGGAGGAGAGGTAGCTAGGGGGAACAACACAGCTGCAGGTGATCATTCAAAGTGTCACCTCACCGGATAGTTTCTTGCTAGTTAGGCAAGGGGAGTCCAAAGGCATTTCGAGAGTCAAGTGCAGGGGGCGGGGATGGGGGGCAACTTGCTAGTGGGACACTTTAAAACACAAAGGAGTTTCTCGCACCAAGCTGGGTTACAGCACTTACCAGGCAGTTCTCTGTCCTGTGAGTCCACAGCAGTGGGCGTTTGCTTTTAGAATCTTGGTGGATAGGTTAAAGCAGCGGTTCTCAACCTGGGGGTCGAAAGACCCTTTCACAGGGGTCGTCGGGTTCATCACAGTAGCAAAATGACAGTGATGAAGTAGCAACGAAAATAACTTTATGGTTGGGGGGTGGGGTCACCACCACATGAGGAACTGTATGGAAGGACATTAGGAAGGTTTAGAACCACTGGGTTAAAGGTTGGCAGGCCACAACCTGAAACTCCGGACTCGACTGCCATCCATTGGATGCCCTATAGCAGAACTGTCCCCATGTGTTTCTGAGGCCAACCTAGCAGGGGTAGAAAGCCCCATCATTCTTCCTCAGAGCTGCTGGTAGTTTCAAACTCCCAGCCCTGCAGATCAGAGCCCAACTGGTAACCACTGTGCCACCCGGGCTCCCGCAGTGACTGCTGAAGAGCGATCTTTATCGGAGGCTGGGGTTCGCTGTGTTGGACCTGACAGCCCTCCCTTCCTGTGACTTAGTGTAAAAGTCCTGCTAAACTGAGGGGGACGCACGCCCCTGGGTGGTGCAGCGTTCCCACGCCTGGCTCCTAACCCAAGGTGGGAAATCCGAGGGCACCCCAAGGCACCCTGGGAGCCAAGCGCCCGGTGGCCTGAAAGCACAGCCGTTGGAAACCCCACGGAGCCCGGTTCTTCCGTGACCCCTAGGGGACCCCAGCCCAGCCGGCCAAACCGAGCTGGGACCTTTGTGGCTGCTCGTTTAGTTTGATGTTGCCGAGATCACTCACAGAAAAACTTAAACCAATTCCGTTCTCGAACAATCCGCCGGCACTGATACCGCGGTGCGGCCATTCCGACCTCCTGCGCTCCTCCCCTAAAGGCACAGCCCGCTCAGGCCCCATCTAGATCTTTCCAGTGGCTCTCCTCCTTTGAGCCCACAGTCATTCTTCAGCCCAGCTGGGTCGCTGCTTGGGCAGCCCACCGCAGGGTCAGTGGTGGGAACCCCGAGAGCGGTGCCGCTGCGCTCGCCCAAACACTGGCTGGCGAGGTTGCTGTGGGTTGGAATGGGGTTCGCCACGGTGGGTTAGGAGTCTCTGTAGTTCTTAAAAGGGCTCCAGGCTCAAGGCGGGCAATTTATTTTTTTTTTTTTTGCTTGTCTGTTTTTTGTTTTGTTTTGTTTTTTTAAACATTTTATTAGGGGCTCATTCAACTGTTATCCCAATCCATACACACATCAATTGTGTAGGCAATTTACATTTTTAATGACTTCCCTGGAAACAAGGCAGGGGCTACTTTTGATGTAAGGTGTAAAGCTCATTTATTTCCGTTGTGGGGGTGGGTTGCCATCCAGTCTCCATGGACCCAGTGAGGTTGGAGACAGGTGCAGGAGATGAAGCTTAGTCCAGAATAAGAGGTTAAGAAAGATTTTATTGAGGCAGGGAAAGAACTTCTGGGAGGGAAGAGGAGAGCAGAGCAAAGGGACGGGCATGAGCCTCTCTGGGAGTGAGGTCAGGGAGTTATACAGGGTCAGAGCTAAGGAAGTCTATGTTAACATAGACTTTATTGCTTGCAGCTGCAGGACCTTAATTCAGGATGCGATCCCATGGGAGGTTATCTAGTTGTTTGAGGACCTGCTCTTTGAAGTGCTGGGGGAATGGGCTATGCAGATCTACCCGGGGAAGGTAAATAGCTTCCTGGGGTGCTGGGGCAGGAATTGCATAGTTCAGGAGGTCCTGAGGAGCCAGAGAGGGGTTGGGGGCTGCCCGGTCTGGACCGGCCCAAACACCCAGAAAGCCTCGTTTTGGCGGAGTCTGAAATTGAGGGGCGAGGTCTCAGTGCAGGTGGGCCCTGTGGTGGGAGGAGCTGTGTTGGGAGAGGCTTGAGGCTGACTCTGCATTTTGTCTCCCAGGGGCTTGGTGGCAGAGGCGCCCGATGAGAAACTCTTCTTTGTGGACACCGGCCCCAAGGAGAAAGGTGAGGAGCGCGGCCGAGTGTGGGGGAACCCCTTGACGCCTGCTAACGTGTAGTACGTTTGACCTGTGGCACACGCCCCTGGTAACAACTTGCTATGCATGTGCCACGCAGGCAGGATTGTGTACTCTCATAGTGGCTCTTTTCTTCACCAGTGTTATTTTTGAAAAATACAAACAAAAGAAGTAATGAAATGGTATAGACAGAAGCCGGTCCTGAGTAGAACTTACAGGTATCAGCTTCCTGCTGTTCCTTTGAATAAGAGCAAGTCAGGGCCCGTTTTAAGGAAAGAAACAGACTGCTAGCCAATGAGACCTTTCATTTACTAAGAACAGAAGGATCTACTTTACAACTCGTGGGCAAGAAACTGGTTACCACATGCCTGCTTTAGTTTGCCCCAAAACTAAAGCCGGGACCTGTTGTAACAAGGAGACAAGAGGCAGGTTTAGGGATCATTTGAGGACGTGTGAGAACAAAGTTGGTAACAAGGAGGAATCCCAGGTGGGACACACCTTCGCCGGCTGAAGTCCAAGGGTAACCGGCATGCTGTGTTTTCTGTGGCAGCCCTTAGTGTGCTGTGTGGTAAAGTCCTGGCACATTGAGGAGCGACCCCATGGTGATGCAGTGCCCATATGCTCAGCTGCTAACCCGAGGCTGGAGGTTTGAGCCCACCTAGACACAACTCGGAAGAAAGGTCAGGTGGTCTATTAAAGTTTTTTTCCTGAAAACTCAGCCATTGAGGGGCCCTGGTGGCATAGTGGGTCACGCCCGGCTCCGAGGGAGAGTGTCAACTCCCATAAAGAACCACAGTCTCGGCCCTACAGGAGCAGGTCTTCCCAGTCCTAGGGGCTGAATGGGCTCAATGGCAGTCGGTGGCTTTTGTTGTTGCAGGGTGGGGTGACGGAGAGCTTGCGTCACTGTTGTTCCTTGGTGGCACTCAATTATCATTTCTCCCCAACAGTTTTATTGGCACATAGTTTACATGTCATGTAACTCAATAGTTTAACCGTTCAGTCATATAAAGGAGAATTGCACAATCATTACCACATCCATTTTAGAGCATGCCTATTATTTTTAATTGCATTTTTTAAGGAACATTTACACGTTCTGTACACACTCTTCAGTGACATTAGTTATATTTCAAACATTCTCTGAAAAGTCCACTCTGGTGGTTCCGTTTCCAGCCCTCTAGCTTCCCTGTCCCCTTCTCTTTGCTTTAGGGAAGTGGTGGCCCCTTGGCCCCATGGGGATGATGTGTTAGTAGGGTACCATATTCTTTAGTTCATGAGCCAGTTCATCATTTTGCAAAAAGGTGGGGATGTGTCCGTTCAGGCGGAAAGAGTATCTTTGGGCCATGGTCTCTAGGAGCCCTTAAGGCTCCACAGGGTCCAGTAAGCCTGGACAGTTTAGGGATGTGAGTCCTATTCCCTGGTCTCTCACCCTCATCAGCTCTGCCTGTTGTCCTTCCCTGTGAGCGTGGTGGGCAGTGGGCACCGTCTAGTTCTAGTCTCCGGGTCACTCCTGTGAACTAGTAAAACCCCAGTATCCTAAGTGAGCAAAATGGCCGAGCAGGCATGAGATCAGCAAGAGCCCAGCACTGCCCCCTGGCACTTAGTCTGGGTGGCAGTCTTGGGCCCTGGATCTTCCTTCTCCCACCACAGGCCTGAAGAAGAGGGCGAAAGGTGGGAAGAAGTCGTTGCGTCTCAAGAAGCCCCTCCGGATCGACCGCACCCTTGAGAATACATCCTCGATCCCCGTCCCCAAAGAGTGAGTATCGGGGCTGCCCCACCCGCCCCGTTTGCCTGCCAGGCTGTGGGGCCCCTTGTGCCTTACACCCCCCCACCGCTTCTTGATCCTATGGGGGGTAGGGATGGTACTGGTTGGAGGGGGCCTGAGGAGCGTGGAGGCAGGGCAGCATCAGGAGGATCCCTGGGTGGGAGAGATGGGTTTGGGGTGGTCCCCCGGGGGGCAGTGGTTCAGAAGTCTGTGCTGGCAAGTCCACCCAGGGCCCACGTGATCTGAAGCTGAGGGTCCAATGGAGGAGGAGGAGTGGTGGCGTCTGGGTGTGGCTGGTGGTACCTAACCCCCTGCCTCTCCCCCACCCAGTGTCCTCGCCCACCAGGTCCCCAACGCCAAAAAACTCAGGCGGAAGCAGCAGCTATGGGAGAGGCTGGCCAAGCAAGGCGAGCTGCCCCGAGAAGTGCGGAGGACCCAGGCCCGGCTCTGCCAGCCCCCAACTGACAAGGCCAAGCCTGGGCTCCCGGACACCGCCGAGCGGCCCTTCTATGACCTCTGGGCCCCTGACAGTGAGTACCAGCTCTCCCTTTAGGGCTGGGGCCCAGGGGAGGGAGGGGAGCTGCAGGTGGCTGTGCAGGCCGAGCACTGACGACCTGACAGCGCAGCCCTGTGCCCGACGGGGACCTCTTCACCCTGCCCTCAGCCGTCCGCCCCTCACTCCGCGATGCTTAATGGAGGGACCCCTGGGACAGTCCTTTCCTTCTCTGGACAGCCTCCACCATCCCTCCCTGTCCCCACAGACCCTCTGGACCGGCCGCTGGTTGGCCAGGATACCTTCTTCCTAGAGCAGACCAAGAAGAAAGGCATCAAGGTGCGAGACCACCCTGCCCGGGGGGTGCTGGGAGGTGTGTTGGTTCAGTGACTAGTCAAGGCCATGGTGGGGGCACGCAGGGACATGGACACGCTTCAGGCCAGGGAGACCTTGTGTGGGAGAAAAGCCACCACTGCCCCCGAGTGCTGCCGCAGTCCCACTGGGTTGGCAGTGGCTGTCTTCTCAGGCCTTTCTTCCAAGGTGCCTCTAAGTGAGCGCACGCTGCCAGCCTTTTGCCACCACCTAGGGACTCCTACACCTCCGGTGGCGGGTCACAGTCGGGCTGTGTTGCCAGCTCCATGGGGCTTGAACCTCTAGCCCTTCCTACTGCAGCCGAGCACCAGCCAGGGACTCTACCCTCTGAAAAGAACACAGTGCTACCTGGGTTAGAGGCCTGGGGGGAGGGGAAGCCCACCAGGTCGTATCCTGGGTACTGGACATCCCTCCATCAGAGGACACTACTGAGCTCCAGGCAGCTCTGGGGAAGGGCCATGGGGTCAGTCTGTGGCCCCAACCTTGGCCCCTCCCAGCGTGGTGTCCTAGCTCAACCGGCGAGAGGACTCGGAGCCAGTGGCCCTCACCCTGCTCGGGCCTTGTCTTCTTCCAGCGACCTGCGCGACTCCTCACCAAGCCCTCCCAACTGCCTGCCCTGGAGGTGACGCCGGCTGGAGCCTCCTACAACCCGACCTTTGAGGACCACCAGGTATGTTGAGGCAGGGAACAGGGCAGGCAGAAGGGCAGGGCCCTGGACCAAGCCTCTCACTGGCCTTGTCCTCTCACCCCCACCCCATGGCAGGCTCTGCTCCAGGCAGCCCATGAAGTGGAGCTGCAGCGGCAGAAGGGAGAAGAGAAGCTGGAGAGGCAGTTGGCTCTGCCCACTGCTGACCAGGCTGCCACCCAGGTGAGCCCTGACTGTCCCCGTGGCCCTGGCTCTCCCCATCTCCTGGAGTCCCTTGCTTGCTGACTCCCCATCCATAGGGGTTTCCCCACCTCCAGGAGCCCTCATCCCGTTGACTCTCTCCATCCCCCCAGGAGTCCACATTCCGAGAGATGTGTGAGGGACTGCTGGAGGAGTCAGATGCGGATGGGGAGCCAGGGGAGAGCCAGGGGCCCGAGACCACAGGAGACCAGGCCTGGCCCAGGCCCACCCGCCTGGCCCCGAACCAGAAGAAGACAGAGCAGCAACGACGTCGGGAGAAGGCTGCTCGGAGCCTGGTGAGTGTCCCTTTCCAGGGCCTGTAGGCTGTACTCTGGGATTCGTGGAACTTCGTCAACGGGGTGATTTCCCAGCATCCTTCGGGTGGCCACTAGGTGCAGCCTTGGGCTCAAGGGATCCTGAAGAGACCCACTAGAGGAGGCCCCTGCTGGGGAGGTGGGGCTTCCAGACCCCAACCTGAATACCTGCTGTGCAGAAAGAAGCTAGTGTGGCAGAAAAGGCCTCCTGACCATGGAGGGGCTTGCTGACAGCAGACCCTCCCCACAGCGGGCAAAGCGGGCTGCGCTGCGGGCCGCTCAGCTCAGGCACCAGGAGCTCTTCCGGCTGCGGGGGATCAAGGTCCAGGTGGCCCAGCGGCTGACAGAGTTGGCCCGGCGGCGGGACAGGCGGCAGGCCCAGAGACTGGCTGATGCAGACAAGCCCCGCAGGCTGGGGCGACTCAAGTGAGGCCTGGGGTTGGGGGAGGGTATGGCGTGGGGTGCGGTGGAGTTCTCTAAGGGAGGTCAGGAAGCCACTCAAAGGGGCTCCACTGTCTGATTCGGGCCCCAGGGCCATCTGCCTTTTCCAGGCTCTGTGCCCCCCACTTAGAGCACCTGACCCTGCTGGGTAGAGGCCACACTGGCACAGTGGACTCTGCCCAGCGCCAGCCCTGAACCCCACTGTGCTTCCCAGGTACCAGGACCCGGACATTGATGTGCAACTGACCTCAGAGCTGGCAGACTCCCTCCGGACCCTGAAGGTGCCTGCTGGGTGGGGGCAGGGGTGGGGGTGCTGGAGCTGTGGAGACCCTGTACCCGCTGATGATCCCATCCTTGCTCCCCAGGCCCTCCCGGGCAGTGGGCGACACTGTGGCTCCCCTGGGCTGGCCAGTTGGGCTGATGCCTGGGGGCTGAGGGCAGTGGCTCCAGAGGGGGTGCTCAGACCTGGACTCTTGGGATCCCACCCCTTTCCCCGCTCCAAGTCCCCTCCCCCCCTCCAGGTGTCACCTTTTACATACTCACAATCATCCCGATAGAATTGTCAGTGGGAAGTGTCCAGGTGCCCCAGCGCCTGCCCCCGTAGTGCCTCATCTTTAGCTTGAGAGCGGCTCTTGCATCACAAACATGGCTTTTTAGTAGCGCACACTTTCCCAGAGCACCCCCAGTCCCTGTGCCCCTCTGCCAGGTTGCAGAAAGGTGGCTGAGGGATCGTTTTGGTTCGGGGTTCAAAGCGAATCTCAGGGTCATCTGTGTCAGGAGGCTGTCTCTGCTGGCCCAATTAATCCAGTCCTTTTTAAGAATGTGCGTTTGGTTCTATATTTCCTCCCTCTCTGTCTAAGACCATTGTTGAGAATGGTTGGTGGTGGGAGTCGGGCACCATCTCACTCTTCTGGTCTCACTGGATGACACACGCCTAAGGCAGGTCTGCCAGCCCCCTCCAGTGCTGAGTCCTGAGTTTCCTTCTCAGCCTTTTGCTCCTGACAAGAAGTAACCTGACAGAGTTTCTCCCAAGCATTTAAGAACTGTATGGTGCCACACTCGCCACCCTTGAGTCATGCCAACTCTATAGCACGCTCCTGCAGGAAGTTTCCGAGACTCTGCAGGAGTGGAAATCCCCTGTGTGTCCTCGGGAATCTTCTAGAAGCACAGACTCGCCCCTTTCAGCCCAGAGCCTCCACTGGCTCCCGGGAGGACCCTGTGTCTTACTCCCTGGTCTCTTCATGGGACTGCGCCCCCTGCCCTCTGTGCACCAGCATCATGGGTCGGCCCTGCCTGCCTACCACCACCACCCCTCTCCCGTCCCCCACCCAGGACTGAGCCCCTGAGTGTTGGGCCAACAGGCCTAGGGACGTGGCCAAGCAGGCTCTGATCACTGACACCCCCACCCCACCCCCGTCCCGCAGCCCGAGGGTAACATCCTCCGGGACCGATTCAAGAGCTTCCAGAAAAGGAACATGATTGAGCCGAGGGAGAGAGCCAAGTAAGGACAGGCCCCAGGGGCTGGAGGGTTGGGGTGGGGGGTTGTACTTGCTGCCTACTGACCACCTACCTATCTCCTCAGATTCAAGCGCAAGTACAAAGTCAAGTTGGTGGAGAAGCGTGCATTCCGAGAGATCCAGTGAGTGCCTTTCCCTCGCTGGGCCGAAAGCACAGCTCGAATTCACTGAAACCAGAGAGAAAGGGGCTGCTCTGCCATCCCCTGAACACAGCAACTGTGGACAAACCCAGGGAGGGAGGAGGTGGGGGGGGGTAGAGGAGAGTGGGCAGGAATGAGGGGTGCTCTCTCTTCTGGCCTGGCCTCAGTCCCCTCCTCTCTGTCCCCAGGTTATGAAGGCTCCTGGATACCTGCGTCCCCAGCCGTCAATAAAGCCTGCCTGAGGTCGTCCTGGGCTCTGTGGCTGGTGTCTTCCCTCCGTGTCACCCTGCGTCCTTCCAGGGCTTGAGGACGGTTGCAGGCCACACACCCTAAAAGCAAAACAAACCCCACTGCCCCAAGGTGATGCCTACTCGGCAACCCTATAAAGCAGGGCTCCTCGGGGCCAGTTCACTGTCCCTCTGACCGTTGGAGGGCTGGACTAGTTTAAAATTAAAACTAGGAACAATTTCCTAACGCACACTGGACGAGTTGGCTGCTAAGCAGGACAGGCAGCAGTGGCAAAAAACGCACGGCAGGCCGGATAAATGTCCACGGCGGGCCCAGTGTGGCCCCTGGGCTGCAGTTTGAGGACCTCCTGCTGTAAGTCAATGCAGAACTGACTGTCTCCATGGGTCTGAGACTTGACAGAGAGCCCGTTTTCCTCCAGAAGAGCCGACTGATGACTTTGAGCTGTTGACCTTAAAGGTCACAGCCCAACACAGGGCTCCTACTTCTCAGCTAGGTTCCAGAATTTGTTCTTAGTGACCCAGGGTAACAGAATACTTGCCTCTTAGAATCTTCTCGACTTCAATCTGAAGAGCAGATCACCAGGTCTTCCCCCGTGGAGCTCTGACATTTGGCTTTCAATTTCCCAACCTTTCAGCAAGTGGCAGAGTGCTCTGCTGCCCCGACCTCCACTCCACCCCTGCTCCTTGAGGACATTGAATTGTATCCCACCTGCTGCCATGGAGTTGATCAGGACCTTCAGCAACCCTGTAGGACAGAACGGCTCTTTAGAATTTCTGAGGTGATGGTTATAGCAGCCACTAGGGGGCCTTAGGAGTCCCTAATTATTAGATTGAATTTTAACATGCTAACAACAAATTTCTTCAATCTGTCCCACAACTTGCCCACCATCTGGGGAGAGGACAACATCATTGTTAGGACTAAGCTGAAGCAGGTCCAGGCCCTGCGCATGCTTCCCTGCACATCCCAAAAGTCAGCAGCAGCCCGAGCCAGAGAAGATAACCAGTGAAACCAGATGCTCTGAGTTCAAAAGGAGTTGGAGTGTCCAGACCCCATATACTAATAGCCATACATTCCTCACCACCCCTTTAAAAACCCCCAGCTGCTGAGCACGACTTCCCTGACCTGTTGGTAGAGGTCACAGAACCTCATCCAGGAGCTCCCCCTGATAAAGCTATTCTGTCAACGCTCCCTTGCCCTGTCAGTTATGTCTGCCGGTCTCCCTGTGCCTCAGTCTCATCTTCACATTTGGTGGCTGAAGCCTGGGAGAGGTAGGGACACAGGCTCTCAGCCTCTGGAGCCTGTCTGAGCAAGGACTTCTGGTCAGTATCTCTCTCTGTATGTTCGTTCCGTCCTGTTTGTCCCTCTGGACACCAAGGACCAGCAAACTCATACGGGAACATAGGGTCCACGGGAGGCTAACTAGCTGGAAGCCCTGAAAAGCAAATACAGTAAGAAGCTCAACGCGGTATTTTGCAACCCTCGTACCAAGAGGAGCTGGAAATAACTGCCTTTGCCTGAAAGGGGTGTGACATAAGGCCGGTTTCTCATGTCCATCTTTTCTCTGTGTCTGCCATCTCATGTGGCCTCTAGCCCTTGTCTCTGTGTTTACCTCCTGGGATTCCTGCTAACAGGACTCCTAGTAGTCACTGCACCTTCTGCCTGGACTGGAACGCAGAGGGTGTGTCTGAGCCTCTTTACCTGTTTGTGTGCTTTGTGTTGGCGGCCCTGCAGCACTTTCTCTAAAATGTTCTGCTTCCCCTTCCTCTCACCCTGAACAAAGGCCTGACCAACCTCCATTTTTATCAGCCATAAAGCCAGCTGCCCCCCCCCCTCCCCACAGCTTCCATTGTGTCTCTTGGGGTGCCTACTGCCAACCTTACTGAATTGGGCTTAGCTCGTGGTCTCCGCCCTAAGCACCTGGTCTTTTTCTGTAGCCAAATTTGGCCTCAATACCACTTGGACAATGAGTCGGCTAGCCAGAAAATGGCACTTTCGATTTTATCCTCTGCGACCTCAACAATTTTTGTCAACAAACATAATCAGAAGTCCCATATGTTCCGGTATTTTTCTTTCTTCACTCCCATCCCTCTCTACTACCTGTCACCCTGTTCAAGTTCTCTTAGCCAAACACTTCCCCTCCCTGTAGCCAGTCTCTCACCCCCTTCCTTCCCGGCTCCCTCCCTGCTCAGCCTCCTGAGCCAACACCTGCATCCTGACAGTCCTCTCAGATAGGGAAGCAGTACACAAATCCATAGGCTAGTAACAAAGCGTAGCTCTCTTCCTACCTGTCCTAGTAAACTTTAGTTTTGCCTCCTCCCTGGCAGCGGCAGAGATTTCTAGTAGAGCATTAGGGCACAGCATGCTCCAAACACAAAACTTTAACAAACACCTCCAGCTAGTCATGGACTCCACCTCAGAGTCTCTCACCTCCTTACAGCGACAGCTTACACCCCTGGCACAGGTGACCCTCAGAATCGTGCATTGGATCTGTTAACAGCTGACAAGGAAGGTACATGCATGTTTCTAAGAAAAAAGTGTTACTATATTAATGAGTCGGGAGTGGTTGAGCAAAATGCTAAAGTGTTAAAAACTATGACCAAGGAAATCAAAAGTCACCACTGGGGCAACGCAGCAACCACCTCCTGGTTCCAAAACCCTGGTAGGACCCCTGGTAATAATTTGTTTGCTGTTACTTTTAACCCCTTGTCCTTAAGTTCCTTCAAGAACGAATGAAAGACATCCAATCTAACTGCTAACCAACTCTTGTTACATCCTTACATACCCCTACCTGCCAATACTGGTCCAGACCATTCCAGCCCATAGCCCTGCCCCCGTCACCCTGTATCAGCAGGAAGTAGATCATATACCAAGGCTGGAATGTTTGGACTAAGCTGAAGCAGGTCAGAGCCCTGCACATGCTTCCCTGCACATCCCAAAGGTCAGCAGCAGATGGCACCAGATAAGATAACCAGTGAGACCAGATGCTCTTGGGTTCAAAGAAAGCCATAAGGAGTCGACCAGCAGTTCTCAGAGTTTCTGGACCCTATATGCTAATTACCATACATTCCTCACCATCCCTTTAAAAACCCAAGCCTCCAGCTGCTGAGCACGACTTCCCTGACCTGTTGGCTGGATCACGGAACCTCGTCTGGGAGCTCCCCCTGATAAAGCTATTTCTGCTTCTGCTCTCCCTTGCCCTGTGGTTATGCCGGTCTGTCTCCCTGTAGCTCAGTTTCACTTTTACAATCAGCCCCAACAGTTCCTTGCTGCTGTCCACTTGATTCAGCTCAGGGATCCAAACCCATGGGCTGGTAGAGCTGCCCCACAAGGCTTCCAAAGCTGTAAAGCTCTGTACGAGATTGCTGCATCTCCCTCACAGCAGCTGGGGAAATTCAAACCTTCCAGTTAGCAGCGGAGCGCTTCACCACTGTGCCACCAAAGGTCCTCCACTGGGCAGTTACATGATTGTATGTCAACTTGAGGAGGTAGGAAAATATAGGGGTGGAATCCAATCGGTCAATCAGGTCACAGCCTGATGATGCCTCCTTGGGGATGCGGCCACATTGGGGTGGGGCTGGAAACCTCCTCCCCTGCCCCTTCATCTTCCTGCTACTGGGATTCTGCTGCCCACCCTGAGAGCTGGAAGTACCCCGCCATGTTCCCGGACGCTAGACCCACTCGACTGCACCCACAAGCCTGTGACCCACCCTTAAGCTTCGTGGTTCACCGTGTGCGTCATGGCATATGGCTATGTGAGTCTGAAGAGGGGCTCAGGGCCTAGCAACAGCCTAATGGAGTTGACTTGGACTGCACTGGGGCGCCTTCTTGTAAAGTTACTTCTTAATATAAAGCTCTTTATTACACACAGATGAGTGTCCCTGGATCTGTCTGCACCATAGATATGGACATGGACATTTTAATGTCGAAGGTTTGTGGCACCCTGGGTTAAGCAAGTCCCCCAACACCAATTTTCCAAGCGCCTGTGCTCGCCTCATGCCTGTCACATCTCAACCACTCCCAACACAATGTCAAACATTTGTCATTGTGCTGTGGCAAACCTCACAGACAACGGTGTAAGGTCATCATCACTTTCGTAGGCATGGGTTCAACATAAGCAGCCTCCGTCACTTAAAACATGTTTCTTCTCCTGGGTCACTGTGGCACATACATCGAGAACACACCTTTGGCCAGTTGGATGTACAAGCAGGTCAGTTAATCATGTGGAGGCAAAGAATGGAGACCTGAAGGGTCTTTGGCCCACTACATGCAATCCAACAAAAACACAGTATACATTCTCCAACACACATGGAACATTCTCAAGAACAGACCACATAATAGGCCACAAATCATGCTTCAACAAACCAAAAAAATTAAATCCTACCATCTTCTTGGACCACAATGCTATAAAACTAGAAATTAATAAAACGAGCAGAAACGAAGACAAACACATGGACACTGAACAACATAATGCTCAAAAATGACTGGGTAATAAAGCAAATACAGGAATACAGTTAAAAATTCATTGAGACAAATGAGAATGGCATCAAACACCATATCAAAAGCTCTGGGGCATAGTGAAAGCAGTTATCAAAGACCAATTTATAGCTATAAACACACATGAAAAAAGATCTAAAATCAACACCCTCACACAACACCTCCAAACGCTGGAACAAGGACAACACAATCCCCTCAATAAAGGAAGGAAAGAGAAGGATCATAGCAGAAATGTGAAAAAAAAATGGGGGTAAAAAAATCAATGGTTCTTTGAAAAGATTAACAAAATAGGTAAGACCCTGGCAAACTTAACAAAGGAACAAAAGGTGACAATACCCAGAATGAGAGGTGAAAATGGTGACATTGCAACAGATCTGAATGCAATAAAAATACACTACTATGAAAAACTTAAAATTCTACAAACTAGAAGAAACGGACAGATACCTAGAAGCACATCTGTGTTAGGGTTCTCTAGGGAAACAAAACCAGGACACTTATGATTAAATAGACAGATGCAGCACAAAAGAACACAACAGCTAATTAGTCCTCACAGCAGTGCAGAGGGCTCAGTTAAGCTTACTTACGTGGAACAGCTACTATACTGGAAGTACTTCAACTCACGAGGGCTGCTGGGTCCAAGGTCAAAGAAGCAGACAGCTGAGTCTTCTGTAAGATAATGCACAGTCTGACCACAGGCAGCAAACGGCAGGGTAGGTCACCAACAGCAAGACGATAGGATCCAACAGTCCCAAACTCAAGTGCTGTATAAGAAGGAACCTCAAGCTCTAGCAACACGTTCCACAGGTTGGCAGTCCCACAGGTAGTGTAGCTCATAAACTGAGGCAGAGAACTAGCTAAAGCAGCCACACACTGGTCTGATCACCAGAGAGCAAGAGAAAGGTGGGGTTTGCAGAGCCATTTATCTCTTTGCCCTCCAAACTTTGACCTTACTAATCTTACATGTTCCTATTGGCCAGGTTGGCACAATAAACCTACCTATCACAACATCACCCACTCAAATTAATGCAGGCAGACCTGTAACAGAAGAAATAGAGCAGATCATTAAGAAACTACCAACCAAGAAAACCTCAGGACCAGGTTTTATAGAGGAAATCTATCAAATATTCAAAGGATATCTGACACCAATACTATGCAAACTCTTCCAGAACATAGAAAAAGACAACAAAGTCCCAAACTCATTCCTTGAAGCCAGTATAACACGGATACCCAAACCAGGCAAAGACCCCACAAGGACTGAAAATTATAGACCAATATTCTTCATGATACAGATGCTAAAACCCTCAAAATCCTAGCCAATGGAACACAGCAGCATATCAAAAAATAGTGCATCATGACAAAGTGAGGTTCATTCCAGGTATACAGGGATGGTTCGATATTAGAAAGAAACTATCAATGTAATCCATCACACAAGGCAAGAAATAAAAGCCACATGATCTTATCTAGATGCAGAAAAGGCAGTTGACAATATTCAACATATTTCAATTCAAAACACTCAATAAAAGAGTGATAGGAAGAGAATTCCTCGACATAAGAAAAGCCATAAATGGGAAACCAACACCCAACATCGTGCTCAATGGGGAAAAGTTAGAAACCAGGCAAGGATGTCCTCCCTCCATCACCACGCTCATTCAACATCCTGCTGGAAGTCAGCTAGAGCCACCAGACAACAACAAATGAAAAATCAAGGGGATAAAAAACAGATAAAGAAGAAGTGAAACTCTCACTATTTGCAGATAATATGATCCTATATATAGAAAACCCAAAAGTGTCCACAAAAAGCGGGCTGGAAACAATCGAGGAATTCAGTAAGGTAGCAGGATACAAAGTTAACCAGAAATCAGATTGCTGTATGCCAGTTAAGAAAACGATGAAAAAGGCATTGAAAAATCAATACTATTTTTGTCAGAGGAAACCGGTTTCCCACAGCCGAAGGGCCGGAAGGCGTAAATGTATGGTGATCAAATATGAAGACTATAGTAAAGTCATAGAAGATAGTAGGAGAGTAAAATACAGGTGTCAGACTCATTTCATGGTAGCATGCTCACATCAGCTCCTGAGAGAGAACCTTTACTCTCCTGGCACATTTATAGGTCGTCATAAGACATGCATATTCAGTAGTTACATGCGTCACAAGGTGGGTGGTATATCCGTTAAGGTCCCTGAGCTCACAGGTGAGGAAACCCAATACCTGCATTGGGGGAAGGTAGGAGGGGGGTTGAGTGTCACGGCAGGAAGAGTGCGCAAAAATATAATGTCTGCTTCTGTAGGGAGATATAACCAACCATGTGCTCGCTTTAAGGCAGCATAGCTGTAAGGGGAGAATCTGTGGGAATGATATTTAAAGCAGGATCATGTACTTGGACTTTAACTTAACCAAAGTGGAGGCTTTCCTACCGTGGAATCCCAGCCTTCCAGATTCCCTTTGTCACAAGTTAGGGAACATAAACAAATAGCCCTTCCCTTTGGACTGTTAGCAACCTGAAAACAGAAACACGGTTAAGATTGGGGTGGTTTGTTCATTTCTTCCTTGTCCCTCATCTTTCTCCACCTGTGGTTGCACCCTTCTACGGGGAGTCGATCAGCTTTCTTCTGCAAAAAGAAATGCACAGCCCCTCCTACAGGTGATTAGTGGACCAGGATCCCACATGCAATTTCCATCTTCCTGGGACTTCTTAGGATCAGCTTTTTTTCTGTAGAGGTGAAAATGGGTTTATCTGCCCTAATTTTGTTAGAAGTTTTCAGTAAGGAGAAAAAAATTTTTGTTAAAAAGACTAAAGGTAGGTCTGTCTGGATAGGACAGGCTGGATGAACAATCTGGAGGAGAAAACAACGGGACTGACGGTTCCGGGGGGACATAGGATAGGGGGAGGTGGGGGGAAGGGAAGAGGTGTTAACAAACCCAGGGACAAGGGAACAACAAGCGATCCAAATTGGTGGGGAGGTGGGTGTGGGAGACCTGGTAGGGCACGATCAAGGGGAATGTAACAAAGAGGAAGTGCTGAAATCCTGGTGGGGACTGAGCATGATGGTGGGACAGGAGGAAAATCTATAAATCCTTTTTTTATTTATGTCTTAACACCACCGACTGCTGTCTCATTTCTACACTATAGGGGAGCAGATGCTTTTACTATGATGTCCCTTCTGATTCAGTCTGCCTATTATAAGTTAGGGAATACAGTCCTCATCATATTTCCCTCAGTGTTACTTTCCCACACCATTTACAATAACCACACCAAAAAATGAAAATACTTAGGAATAAACTTAACTAAAGACACAAAAGGATTTATAGAGAAAACTACAGAACATTACTACAAGAAACTAAAAAGGCCCTACACAAATGGAAGAATATCCCATGCTCATGCATCGGCAGACTTAATATCATGAAAATGACAATACTAACTAAAACAATCTATAGATACAATACAATACCAATTCAAATCCCAAATAAACTCTTTAAAGAAATGAGAAAACTAATGATCTATTTCAAATGGGCAGGTAAAAGACCCAGGATAAGGTGGATGAAATGAGACAGCAGTCAGTGGTGTTAGGACATTTAAAAAAAAAAAAAAAGGATTTATAGATTATCAGGGGGACATGGGAGGAGGAGGGTGGGGGGGAAATGAGGAGCTGATGCCAAGGGCTGAAGGAGAAAGAAAATGTTTTGAAAAGGATGATGACAACATATGAACAGATGTGTTTGGCAGAATGGATTGTGATGAGAGCCCCCAATTAAAAAAAAAGAAAGAAAAAGAACCAAGTAGGAAGCCTGACCTAAAAACACAGCCACAACAGTCAAAAAAGCCTGGTACTACTGACACAATGAAAGATACACAGACTGAACGACGACAGCAGGAAACTCAGACGTAAATGCATCAGCCCACAGCCATCTAAGCGTTTACAAAGGACCTCGAACTATCCAATGGGACAGACTGCCTCTGCGAAAAACGGTGTTAGGCAAACGGGATTTCCATACGCAGCAGAATGAAACACCCATCTTTCCCCACGCACAAAACCAAACTCGGGATGGATTACAGACCTAAATGTAACCCCCAAAGGCTTCAGGATCAAGAAGGTTGGAACAAATGTAAAGGCTCTAGAGCAGGGCCTGCAGAGACTGCCAAGTACACTGGAGGAGCACACGTGGCAGACGACGAGACAGACGACTGGGACATGCTGAAAGTACATCACTCATGCACATCAAATAATACTCATCTTTATGTTTTTCATTTGGTTTGAGGACTACCAACATTCTGAGGTTTAGGCTTTGTACATTCCAACTTCCAATTATTAATGCTTGCAGCTGCTTCTTCTCATATTGAGTGTGCCCCATGCACAGGCCAGCATAGAAGGTTTTCCTTAGGGAACCGATTACATGGGACTGTGTGTGACCTCCTCCCTGGGGGACAGACAACCGATAAGTGGGTGAAGGGAGACGTCGGACAGGGCAAGATATGACTAAGTACCCATTTATAAACTATCAAGGGCTCATGCGGGAGGGGGGAGCGGGGAGGGAGGGGAAAAATGAGGACCTAATGTCGGGGGTTTGGGTGGAGAGAAATTGTTTTGAGAAACGATGTACAAATGCGCTTTACACAATTGATGTGTGTATGGATTGGGATAACAGTTGTATGAGCCCCTAATAAAATGTTAAAAAAAAAAAAAAAAAAGGCTTTCCTCATCCACGGCACTTGGAGTTACTCTACTTGGAGAAGGCAGCTCTTGCTCCAGGATGCTTTGACTCTTCCACCCTGAGGGGCTTCTCACCTGTCACTATCTTCTGCTGCTGTTCATGAAGTATACGGTATCGGACAATGGACCACTGCTACTGATAAAGTTGTCTGTGGCGAATTCCTCAAAAGTGGACGGTCCATTCCTCCTTTATAATATGTAGTCTGGAATCTCTGCTGAAACCTGCTCCCTGGTAGGGCCCTGCTGGGATTTGATATGCCATGACACAGCTTTCAACAGCCCAGGAGCATGCAAGTCACCAAGGTCCGCCACATTCAGACAAGTGGTAGGTGGTCAGAATAGACCTTCTTACTCGGGTCACATCCTTGATACAACTGAGGGAGCTTTTCTTCAGTATGAGCTAGTCTTAGTGTAAACGGACAACGCGTGGAAGCTACGTGAATTCACCTGCTGGATTGGAAATCCTGCCTTGGTTTAACTGACCTTAGTAGATCGCCAGCTGATCCCAGAAGCCATTAGAAACGTGTGACTTTGGATTCATTCGGCGGATCTCACATTCATTCAACTCAGAATCCAGCAAGCAACCTGTGGTCTCACTGCTTCATCTTCCTGCTTCCTCTCCACGCGGTCTGAAGCTGCAGGAGTCAGAGGAGGCCTTCCTTTTCCTCCGGACCCACAGACTCAAACAAGTCTGGATGGACCCACTTCTTCAACTGGGTGAGCCGTTTCTTTCTACGTGCATACATACATACGCCACTGGCTTTGTTCTCTAGTGGGTCCAGCCTAACACAACACATACACAAGAGGAATAAGCCATTAAAACACAAAGCAAGCAGTGTTTGTGTTGCAAAGGGGAAGGATAGTTTGAGCCCTGGTTACTGTATATACTTGAGTAAAAGCCCATTTCGGATCAGCTTATGCTCGCGTACATAGGTACTTATTTTTAACGGATAAGTCCCTCTTTATTAATTACAATGGATGTAAATGCAGTAAATGCTCCAATGGAAACAGTATTTGAATGGGCTTGAATCCATCATCTGACTATAAACAATTCCCCTGAGACATTCCATAGACCCAAGCAAATAGGTTGATGGGACAGGATGGATCAAATACTCATGTGTCATCACCAAAAGACAGTTCTAAGACAAGTCTCAGTGTCAGACAAAGTAGGCTTTAATTCAAAATCTGTTAGGAGAGATACACACATATTACACAGTGATAAAAAGGCCAATTTATCAAGAAAATTGAGCGACAATATGCATATGCCTTCAACAGCACAATACGTACTTAGAAAGCAAATACTGATCAACTGAAGGCAGAAATTGATTACACTATAATAACAGTTGAAGTTATCGATACACTTCTTTCAGCAGAACATCAAGAGAGGAGGCCAACAAGGACACCGGGCAAAAATCTAGCTCACATTAAGAGCAATGCTTGCCCTGTTCCACATGCTTTCCTGCGGGCAGCTTGGTGTTTCTGGAAGTTGCTTGTTAGTCTATTGTGGGCTATGAGCATGATGGGATTCATTGAAATTCCCATCAACCAACTGAAGCATGATCGAGTTTGCAGAAGTGTTTTTACATTTACCATTGAATGGTTCAACTGTTTCTCAAGGGTTCAAACAAGAGTATGAAATATTAATTCCTATGACAAAATAATGATTTAGAAATTATCAAGGGCTCCTGAGGGAGGGGGGAGCGGGGAGGGAGGGGAAAAATGAGGACCTAATGCCGGGGGCTTAAGTGGAGAGGAAATGTTTTGAGAATGAT